ACCATTGACATAATTTTATTGAAGTAAAAATGCTCCTTAAAAAAGGGTTCGAAAAGGCTTTATTTCACAGGTGAAATAAGCTCTGTGAAATGAGGCCACTGATGTGACACATAAAGGTTGCTCATAGTTTATCATTCACAAACGTGTGCTTTTTGTAAAGCTGTATTATTACAAAATGTGAACTATAACAAAGACTTCCTATTATTTTTGCATTCATGTATCTCATACGACTTCCTGATATGATTTTTTCATAGTTTTAAAAACAAATGATTTTTATTTCCCAGAGTTCAGTTGTGGAAAGAGAGAGCTTGAAGATTCATGCGTCAATTGCTTGGAAGAGTGGATTTCGACTCCCTCAGTTGTTTGTGAATTATGCATATCGCATTATTACAATCTCGATAAGGCCTCTATAGATAAATAGATAGGCATTGGAGAAAATGATGGTAATGCTGCATTTGGTGTCATCAAAAGTGGCCCCAACTTATCATCCGTCGAAATAAACGAGATTGATATTATAATTTGTCATGGGATAATTTCAAATACACTGATTATCGATAATAAGAGGATTGAAAGGCTTCGAAACTTTACCAAGTCATTCGCTAAATTCACTTAATCCCCCCCCCCCGTTCCATTCCCTCGTGGTTGAATATAAACTAGTTTAAATTCAAAAGCAGTCATAATTCGGTCAAAATTAGACCACCTTAATAAAACAATTGAGTAAGCAGTAAAATTGAAATTTATAATACTAGAATTACTGAAACTACTTGTATATGAAAAATAACCACATACTTTCAATACAAACTCTGAAAAGTATTTGCAAACAGAAGCACAAAAAAATTTGTGCATACAATTTACAAATGATGCAAATGAAAAGGGAATTCATATTTAGAAACCATTATTTCTTTGGAGTGGAATGTTGTCTTCAACTATACACGCAATTATAGAAGAGACGTTTTTCTTAAGTTAGTAGCTAAGACAAAATGCACCAGAAGTCGTGTAGCTGTTTTTCTTCATGTCATAAATTCCAATGATTCCAGTAAAGAGAGTAAAGCTTTGCCACTCTCATTCCTAATTATTCCACCAAGATGGGGTTCAGGTAAGTGTGAGCGACGAAATGAAGGCGGTATTTAAATTGAGTAGAGCATATCTAAGTGGCAATCAAACTGAGTGGTGAAAATCAATAGAAATTAATTGAGAGCATGCACAAATACCCTCAGATAATCAGCTGCTGAGTGAGAAAAGCAAAACAGTGGTCCTACAATGGATTCCTGGTCACCGGGGGCATTAAAGGCAATGAGGTTGCTGACACACTTATTAAGAAGGGTGCAACAATTTTCTAAGGCATAGACCGGTCAATGTCTTTCCACACACTGAAGACCTTAATCAGGAGAGAATTCAAGACTTCATGGTGCAACGAACTTAAAGCTCGAACAAAGGAGAAACAGTGGACAGTGCCACTCTCCAACATAACCGACTGGCCAAAAATCGAAGTTATTGCTGAGTTAAGACTACGTACCGGACACGTTTGCTTGGCAAAACACCTTCACAGATTGGGAGTATACATTCTGGCGAAGCACCTTCACAGATTAGGAGTATACAATCAAAACACCTTCACAGATTGAGAGTATACACTCAACCCACATATACTCTATGTAACCTACAGGAGGAAATGGAGAAGTCCCACCTGTCTATGTGACCTACAGGAGGAAACGGAGAAGACCCACCATATGTAACCTACATGAGGAAATGGAGAAGACCCATCTGATCTGTAACCTACAGGAGGAAATGGAGAAGACCCACCTGATGTGAAACCTACAGGAGGAAATGGAGAAGACCCATCTGATTCTCTACAGGAGAAAATGGAGAAGACCCACCTGATTCGGTGTTCAAAGGAGGAAATGGAGAAGACCCACCTGATTCGGTGTCTAGCTGAGGAAATGAAACCCACATGCCCCCTATGTAACCTACAGGAGGAAATGGCCCCCCCTGATTCGGTGTCCAGCCCTAAAGACAACGATAGGAAAAGCCAGAGATACTGGGAAGCAAGAAGACAGCTACTCCGGAAAGCCAGAGATACTGGGAAGCAAGAAGACAGCTACAGGAAAGCCAAAGATACTGGGAAGCAAGAAGACTGCTAATGTCTGCTATTAATTAACTGCTATATATGTACCCCCCACCCATGGGCTGTGTTAATAATTGCTATAAATGTACCCCCCCCCTTCTTGGGGGAAGCTGAAGTCATAGATTAAGGGCTAATGATAAATATCATAAAGCCTGCCATTTGAAATAAATAAATAAATATCCTCTGATTACTTTAGATTAGTTCATGTCTTCATTGGCTCAATCCTTCTGAGTTACTTCGCTTGATAATTCCCCGTCGAGATATATTTCTGCGAAATACCACCTCTTGGATTGATAATTGATAGTTGAAGCCCAATCACATCTTGCAGAAACATTCTTTCTGACATTATATGTCACACCATTGCTATAAACTCATGATACAAGCCTACTTAATTTGAGAAGTGTTTAGAGTACCAAAAGGCAATTTGAAAATGAGATAAGTGCATATGAAATTCTTTTTTTGAAGAAACACGGTTGATTATTTTACAAATCCGAACTAATCTGAGTTCAGGTTGAGCAAACTGCTCGGTTTGATTCAATTCGTGGGTTGAAGCTGGCTCCCCGAGAAGCGTGTAAGTGAGGGTCTATAGAAAATGGAAGATTATTTTTGCCATTAATTCAGAGGGAAAAAATTGCCATCTCTGCATATATTCTGCGTGGTTCATATATCTGGTCATTTTCAATAATCGTAATTCTGCCCGAAATCGCAACAATAATTTTCAATTTCCATTAAAATGAAGAAATTAGATAAATAGGAGGTAATTATTCCAAATCTAAGGAGTTCTTTATTGGTGATATTTGTATAATTGTAAGCTATTGAATTAGCTTCCCCCCCATCTCCTAGGCTATATAATCATTTTTTAATAATCAATTACATATTAAATAATTAGAAACAGTAATTGAAAACGACTTGGTTATGAGTGTACAAGTTCATCAATCATTACCAAACAAGGATATTTCTCATTACAAAATAATTTGATAGGCTGGCGAGCTAGAGAAAGGAGCATTAATGTTCGAACCAAGAATGAATTAACCAAGGGTCCTTAGATGACTAGTGCGCTGAAGAAGACGTGAAAAGGGAATAAAACGTGAGTGAAGATAATTATATACAACTGTCAAATTTTCAAATAGTTGGATATGAGAAACCGATCGATAAGGGCCTTTAAGAATTTCGTGAGCACAATTTTATTTACCCACAAGAGACCCCTCTTCGAATAATTCGAAGCATTAATAGTATTTATTTCAAACGGCAAGCGCTTTGATTGTTATCATTAGCCCTTTAGCAGACTTCGGACTTCACAGAGGGGAGGAACATCAAAGTGACAAAAATGCGAGTGAAGGGAAAGAAGAGCGATTCACAGATGTAAAGAGACAGACAGACATACAAGTAGAGAAAAGATAAGATGAGTACTATGGAAGGGATCGAATAGGACATAATTAGGGTTATGGTAGTTTGAAGTCAGAAGTCAACATCCGGTTAATAGACTTATTTTGCCGTATGAGTATACATTGCCCAGGGTGCTCCACGTGGAGGTAAGTCTATCGCACACCCCTGCATTAATAATATAACTAAAGACATTAAGCAGCTTTGATGTCGTGATATTCACTGGTACAATACAAGCAAGCAGCTTTGCAATAGTTCGTGGGGGGGGGGGAATTCACGCCAAGATTGAAGCAAAAAATAACTACTACTTTTATGCATTGTTGCAAACATTCAGCGAAATGTCCTCC